ATATCACCATTGGTCAAGCATAGTATCACCAATGAGACAGATAATATGTGCCTCCTGATATGAAGCACTGAGATCACAACTTAATTATGCATCACTGTTGCTAAAATGTGTTACCTGACTCTAATAATAAGGGAACAATCAGGAAAATCTAAATTGAGGAACATCCAATGGAACAACTGGCCTGTACTCTTAATAAATGTCAGTGTCTTAAAGGACAAAGAAAAGCTGAGGATCTGTTCCAGAGTAAAGGAGACTGACTAGGCAGATAGAGGAAGGGGCCACAAGCCAAGCAATGCAGGTGGCCTCTAGAAGCCAGAGAAGACAAACAATTCTCCCCTAGAGCCTCTGAAAGGAACACAGCTCTGCTGACACCTCAATTTTAGGCCTTGACCTCCAGAACTGTAAGATAATAAATTATGGTTTTATTTTCTTTTTTTTCTTTGAGATAGAGTGTTGCCTCTGTCGCCCAGGCTGGAGTGCAGTGGCGCGATTTCAGCTTACTGCAACCTCTGCCTTCTAGGTTCAAGCAATTCTCCTGCCTCCACCTCCCGAGTAGCTGGAATTACAGGTGCACCACCATGCCTGGCTAATTTTCATATTTTAGTAGGGACAGGGTTTCACCATGTTGGCCAGGCTGGTCTTGAACTCCTGACCTCAGGTGATCCACCTGCCTCGGCCTCCCAAAGTGCTGGGATTACAGGCATGAGCCAACACACCCGGCCAATTATGTTGTTTTTAAGCCAATAAGTTTGTGGTGATTTGTTAAAACAAAGGAAAAACAGGCACGGTAGTCAAACACACGCAGAACTGGTGCTCATTCATATCATCTGCTATTTTGTATAGTTGTTTTTTGGACTCATCCTCTATTCAAAGTATTTCTTTGTTTGTTTTTTGAGACAGGGTCTCCCTCTGTCACCCAGGCTGGAGTGCAGCGGCACAATCTTGGCTCACTGCAGCCTTTACCTCCCCGGCTCAAGCAATCCTCTTACCTCAGGCTTCCAAGTAGCTGGGACTACAGGCATGTGTCACCACACCCAGCTAATTTTTTGTATTTTTGGTAGAGACAGGGTTTTACCATGTTGCCCATGCTGGTCTCAAACTCCTAAGCTCAGGTGATCTGCCTCGGCCTCCCAAAGTGCTGGGATTATAGGCATGAGCCATCACGCCCAACCTATTCTAAGTATTTTTTTTGAGACAGAGTGTTGCTCTGTTGCCCAGGCTGGAGTGCAATGGCAAGATCTCAGCTCACTGCAACCTCCGCCTCCCGGGTTCAAGCGATTCTCCTGCCTCAGATTCCCAAGTAGCTGAGATTATAGGCATGTGCCACCACACTTGGGTAATTTTTGTATTTTTAGTAGAGATGGGGTTTCGCCATGATGGCCAGGCTGGTCTCAAACTCCTGACCTCAGGTGATCCACCCGCCTTGGCTTCCCAAAGTGCTGAGATTACAGGCATGAGGCCCTGCAACTGGTCTCAGAGTTGTTTTTTTTGTTTGTTTGTTTGTTTTTTTGAGTCAGAGTCTTGTTCTATTGCCTAGGCTGGAGTATAATGGTGCGATCTCAGCTCGCTGCAACCTCCGCCTCCCAGGTTCAAGCGATTCTCCTGCCTTAGCCTCTCAAGTAGCTGGGATTATAGGCATGTACCACCATGCCCGGCTAATTTTTTGTATCTTTAGTAGAGATGGGGTTTCACCATGTTGGCCAGGCTGGTCTTGAACTCCTGACCTTGTGATACGCCCACTTGGCCTCCCAAAGTGCTGGGATTAAAGGCATGAGCCACCGTGCCCAGCCAGAATATTTCTGAATATTGATTTAGCCATCCAATAACTTTACTGTTTCTCCTACCACCTTCCCATGTCCTGTCCTTTAAACAATGTCATGAGATATGTTAGCAGAGGCTCCATCCTGGATATCTGTAGGTTTCCCTGCCTGTCCAGAATCGACCCTCCTTGTTCTGACCAGACCACCTCAGTTTCCTGGGAAGAGCCTCCCTTCCCTTGCTCTCCACTCAAGTAGTGTGAGTGGGGCTGACCCCTACTCCTGTGCAGATCTGATCAATCCAGTTATTCCAACAACCTGACCTCAGAGATTGGTTCCAGGGGATGAACACACAGGTGCGTCAGTCCATTCCGAACAAATCCTGGGGCTTTTGCTGAAAATATTGAAAGAGAAGATCCTCTTTTCCATGGGGCCTGCTAAGCTGAGACAGACAATATAAGTCTAGAGCTCTTGGAGGACATTCTGTAAAAAGAACCTCATCTGAGGCCAGGCGTGGTGGCTCATGCCTGTAATCCCAGCACTTTGGGAGGCCGAGGTAGGTGGATCACTTGAGCCCAGCAGTTCAAGACCAGCCTGGCCAACATGGTGAAACCCCGTCTCTACTAAAAATACAAAAATTAGGCAAGCGTGGTGGTGCACACCTGCATTCCCAGCTACTTGGGGGGCTAAGGCATGAGAATTGCTTGAATCTGGAAGGCGGAGGTTGCAGTGAGCTGAGATTGTGTCACTGCACTCCAGCCTGGGTGACACAGTGAGACCATTAAAAAAAAAAAAAAAAAAAGGAGCTTAATCTGAGACTAAAGCCAACTCAAAGGAGCAGTGAAGAGCGGGAGAGACCAAGTTCTGATGACATCACTTGTGCTCCTGGATCGTGCTGAGTTAACCCCAGAGCCTTTTAGTTATGTCCGCCAACATATTCCCTCTTTTTCGGGGTTGGGGGGGCAGAGACTGTCTCATTCTGTCATCAGGCTGGAGTGCAATGGCGAGATCTCGCCTCACTGCAACCTCTGCCTCCCAGGTTCAAGCGATTCTCCTGCCTCAGCCTCCCGAGCAGCTGGGACTATAGATGCACACCACCACGCCCAGCTAATTTTTGTATTTTTAGTAGAGACCAGGTTTCACCATGTTGGCCAGGATAGTCTCGATCTCTTGACCTCTTGATCTGCCCGCCTCGGCCTCCCAACGTGCTGGGATTACAGGCGTGAGCCACCACACCCGGCCCCCTCTCTTTTAAAAACCAGTTTGAATCGAGTTTCCATCACTAGTAACTGAAAGAATCCTGGGAAATAAACCTTCTGAGTCCAGATATATATTTCCACCATATTTCCTTGAATTACCAGTTTATACATTTCACAGCAAGAAATAAGGTTAACCTAGTGTGACTTGGTCTTTGTCACTGGTGTTTCATCTTCGGAGAGGTCACAAATTTTTTTTGTTAAGTCATCTGTCCTGAAGATTTTCCAGGCCCAATGGCAAGTTCACTGATCTGTGGTTTGCAGAACTCACTTTCTTCCTCTTTTAAAAAATGGTCATGTCATCTGCCTCTCTGTAACCTTTTGACAAGGTCAGAAAACCTTCTACGAAGTCAGGAGAGGGTCTGCATGACATTCCCCTAAAACAGAATCTGACTAAATGAGTCACCTTTTTTCAATTCTCCCGAACAGCTGGCAATGCAAGGGCAGGTCAGGATGGCACAAGTCAGTGCCTTGTGAGAGGTTCACTTGCTGACCCAGGGAAGGAGTTTCTTCACCCACGGCATCCATCCTCCTCCATTCCCATGAATTCTACAACATGGCACTTGCATTCTGCTGGACTCAGGGCAGAACCCTGCAGAGACCAAAGGCGCACCCACTCACCTGTAGCAACCATGTCAAGGAATGAGGGGTATTTGACACAAACTGAATTCACACCAAGCTGGAGACTCCCTGAGTTCCAGCTTCACATGCTTGGTGGCCACACCCAGTTGATCAAACAAATCTGGAATGAACCAGAAGGAGCTATGGTGCTGAAGACTCCATAATCCTCAGGGCACTGCAGCTCCCAGCTTTTTTCTTCATGTGTTCCCTTAAACTTTCCCAAGGAGTCTACAGTTCAAGTCTACATCTTTCCAAGGACTATCACTTCTGCCTGGGGTGTGGGACAGATACTTGGTCATCAATCCACATGTCATCTTTTCTCTTAAGTGGTAGAACTTGTTTCTCCTGCGTAACTCCCGCAATTTCAGAAAACCCACCGTTTTCTAAAATTGACATTCAGCCCTATTTCAGATATCACTGCATTTCTTTAGAGACAGGGCTTGATCACTTCATTTAAGGAGCTACCAGAAGGAGCATTATAGCCCTGGAATGTAGTTGTACAAACATCTTCAGAAAATTTGAGGTGTCAGTTAATACTCCAGAACCAGATTCTCCACTTTGCTAGGTGCTGGAGTCGAGTTTGACACAACCCCCAAATTACTAGGGAGGGGCTGTCAGTTTATGTTTCCATACTTCCTCTACAACTAAAAAGGCGTCCAAAGGCAGCACTTCTATTTAAACAACTTTTTTTGTTTTAATTGAGGAGACATAGAAGAAACTGAATGGCCTGAACGTTGTCTTTATTGTATTTGCTGAAAAGATGCCGACTGGCCTAGAATTTATGGAGCAACTGAGATGGAATCTACCAGTCTCAAAGATGCCCCGTTTTAAAAAATATATTGGCCTCCGATTGCTCTTCCATACCATGTATCCTCGCCGGACATTTTTCTTTGTAAAATTAAAAAAAAAAAATTATATCATTTATTTATTATGATTATTTTTAGCTCCGGCTCAAAGCCTCGCTGGACTAATTTTAAAGGTATGTTGGTTAATGTCATGCCTTCACCGTAACTAGGGGATAGGGCGGGTAAATGCCACGCTTGTTTTAAAGGTAGGGAAACCCAGGGCCAGGAAACAACTAGAATCAGACGGTATTTCCTAGATTCCTGCTGGCGCTTCTCATGCTCCCAACAAAATCATGAAATAACCCACTCACCTGTACGCACCGGCCCTGCCCCACCCACTGCTCCCAGAGCCGGAGAACACCCAGCCTCTTGGCAGAGCAAGCAAGGATCCAGGTATCCCCGGGCGCGCACCCACGTAGCGGAGCAGGCCTCGGGCCCCGCAGGCTCCGCCCTGTCACGTGACACCAACCGTGGGCCGCCCCTCCTGGGAGGGGAGGGCACGACCCGTCTCTCGCCTGCGCAGAAGGGGCTGGAGGCGGGCACGTCCAGTTGACTGACAGCTCGCGCCGCGGCATCGGGAAAGGACCCGGCTGCTCGCGGGCGGCGCAGTCGCCGCAGCCGCGGAGTCCGACGGCGCCGGTTCCCTGCGCTGTGTGCCCGCGGTGAGAGGTGCGGTGGGGCGTCCTCAGGCCGGCCTGACAGGCTCGTGAGGGGAAGGATGACCCGGGAGGGACGGCGGGGACCCGGGACGGGGGTCTGCGAGGGGTGACAGCTGGGAGCGCCGTGGGGCGGGGGGCGCGAGGAGGGAGGAGGGGTCCGCGGGGTAGGCGGGGGCGGGGCCTCGCGGGCCGGGGGCTCAAGCCGCGGTTCTCCGCAGGCTCCTCGCCTGCTGGAAGGCAAGGGGAATAGGGGAAGGTCGCTGGGAGCCCATGGGCGGAGGGGCAGTGCGGACGCCGGTGAATGAGTGCAACCCGGGCCGCTGCCGGGAGGAGGCGTCCCCAAACCGGGGGCAGGTGGTGGCAGCAGGTGGCTTTGGGATGGAGCTGGTGTCCCAGTCTTGGGGGAAGAAGAAATCCCGGACTTCTGCAAGGGCATTCTGGGGAGAGGGTGCAGGGACCCGGGGGGTAAAGACATTGGCGAATCGTGCGTGTGTGCGGGTTGATGAAGTTGCTGCCTCACCGCTCCCGGGGCTAGCAGGGTGGGGTGAGAGAAAGGGGCTTCCTGGCCTGGGTGGCCAGCCCTATCCATTCTGCCTCTTCCCTCTGCTCTTGATGGGCCCGTGAGCAAAGGGGAGGATTGCAGAGAGCATAGCAATGGAAATGCGGTTTTAGCAGCTCAGTTTAGGACCGCTGGATCAGGTGGAATTGAACACGTTTAGAGGATCTTGGAAAGGACAGAATTGAGTGTTCTGGAGCTGGGTGCGTGCCCCCCATTCCTGCCCTTGTCCTGGGTTTGTGCTTCCCTGGGTTGCAGGTTGATTAGACTTGGGAAGATGAAAAGGGGAAGAGGAAAAAAAAGACTTTGCAGGGGCACCAGCTGGGTCCTCTTCCTCTCTAGTTAGGGGCCAGGCATGAGTCCCAGCCTCCGGATTGTGCAGGAACAGCCTCTGAGCTGGCACAGGTGAGGCGCCCCTGACGTGGAGGTAGTGGCTGTGGTGAGTCAGTGTTAGAGGCAGGCTGACAGCTGTCAGGGCCAAGGCTGCTTTAGCCAGGCTGTGACTTGATGTTGATGTTTCAGATTCATTTCCTTAGAGGCAACCCCCTCCCTCAACCTAAAAGCAGGGCAGAGAAATGCTTAACACAGAATCGTGCAAAGGAAAAAGGTGTGGGTTATATTGCATGTGAGCGTTCCTTCCTGTCTTCCCCCCATTTCTCCTGGGAAGCGTATGTTCTCCATTGTTCAGTGTCTCTGGCTGTCACTTGTTTTTATTTCCACTTTGTTCAGAAATAGGACTGCTTACGCCTTTGAAGCACGGGACGAAAGGCTATTGAGATTGGCTCGCAATGAAAAAGTTGACTCATGAGATTTTCTTTTTCCATTAAAGAGATGAAGATGGCGTGGGACTCACATGTAGGCAGCCTTCACGATCAGATCATCACTAGCCTCTCTGTGTTACATTCTGACGTTTCTGGCCGTGTTTGCCTTTTGTATGGGACGTGTCAGTTAGTGTGAAGGTTGGTTTGCGTTATTTGAGATGTAACAGCCAAAGGCAATGAGAAGCCACTTGGTGACGGAGTAAATCACAAGCCTTAAATAATTTGCTGCTGAATGCCAGAAAGTGGAGGATTTCCATAGATACTGGCTATGGCTCCCTTTTCATGACAATAACTGCTTCTTCAAAGGTGAATTGCTTTATAGTAGCCCCAGTGGCTCTGAGGAGCATCTTTTAGGACAGTCCCCAGGAAGGGTTTGGGGTGGGATGAGTCATGCTGCCTGCCTCTCTGTCCTCCCACCTTCTCCCTCCTTTCTCTCATAAAGCAAAAGTAATCAGGTTAAAAAAAAACACCAAAAGCAGCCTGGGGCAGTTTTTAAAAAAAGTCATGAGAAGTCAACCAGCAGCAGGAAAGACATGCAAAAGCAGGAGTAAAAAACTCTATTGTCCATAATAACCCTCACTTTCATACTTCACAAGGGTTTTCCCACGCAGACTCGTGGCTAATCTTCATTATAAGCTTGGCAATCAGGATGGGTTTGTTACCATTCCCATGTCACAGATGAGGAAACTGAGGCTGAGTGACTTGCACAGGGTCACTTTGCTACTGTGGGCACAGTGAAGTGATCAGCCCAGCCATCTGACACTGGATATAGCAGCCCTTACCACTCTGTGGAATGGGAAGTGGGGCAGATCCGGGTGGATTGTGCCTCACACGAGGGGTCCTCAGAGGCTTGCAAAACATCCTTTTCTTCCACCACCTGCCCGGCTTACCGAATCCGCCGCAGCACCCCTGCCCCCACCCCAAGCTTGAGGTAGTCTGCGTGGACTCAGATTTATTTAGACGTCCTTGAGAAATCCAATAGGAAGTATGATTTCAAAGAGCGTCTTTTGCTTAAGTCTCTGTATTTCCACATAGCCCAGGTGTCTTCAGCTGTGTGAGGCAAGAGAGCATGCAGTTCTCCGGCAGCCTGCTAGAATCGTTTTCCTTGTCCTCCACCCGAAAGAGAAATGCAGTGGTTGTGAAACCAAGGGAGCTGACCCAGTAACTTTGTTTATTCTAAACCATTTTTTATATGTGGCATTGTATGCATTATGGTGACACTTAAAAATAAGCCATAGGGCTGGGTGCGGTGGCTGTCGTTTTCCTGTAATTCCGGCACTTTGGGAGGCTGAGGCAGGTGGATCACGTGAGGTCAGGAGTTCAAGACCAGCTTGGGCAACATGGTGAAACCCGTCTCTACTAAAAATACAAAAATTAGGGCCGGGCGCGGTGGCTCAAGCCTGTAATCCCAGCACTTTGGGAGGCCGAGACGGGCGGATCATGAGGTCAGGAGATCGAGACCATCCTGGCTAACCCGGTGAAACTCCGTCTCTACTAAAAAATACAAAAAACTAGCCGGGCGAGGTGGCGGGCGCCTGTAGTCCCAGCTACTCGGGAGGCTGAGGCAGGAGAATGGCGTGAACCCGGGAGGCGGAGCTTGCAGTGAGCTGAGATCCGGCCACTGCACTCCAGCCTGGGCGACAGAGCGAGACTCCGTCTCAAAAAAAAAAAAAAAAAAAAAAAATACAAAAATTAGCTGGGCATGGTGGCGGGTACGTGTAATCCTGGCATCCTGGCTGAGGCAGAATCACTTGAACCCAGGAAGTGGAGGTTGCAGTGAGCCGAGATTGCGCCACTGCACTCCAGCCTAGGTGACAAAGAAAGATTCCATCTCAAAAAAAACAAAAAACAAAAAAACCCCCAAAAAGGCGTAGTTGTTCTGAGGGAAGAACAAGTTTTAATCCCACTGTCTAAATCTGGGCATCACAAAGAGGACTTCGGGGGAGGTTGGCCGATAAATGTTTCGGCAAGTCAGTGGTATAAAACAATGGAAAGCCAAGGCAACCCCGGGCACATGAACAGAAGTATAGGTCTGGAATGAAACAGGGGACAGTCCCAGTCTACTCCATGCTTAGAACATTGTGTTCTTTTCTGGACATCACATGTAATGAACAGTGTAGAAAAAAATAAGCATATTCATTGGAAACTGCTACAGTGGTGAATGAATTAGACGTAAGCCTGGAGAAGCTTGGGAACTGTGATTTATTAAGCCCAGGGTTCCAAGAACCAAGGGACAAAAGTAATAGAAAGACTTGGCCTTGGCTGGGTGTGGTGGCTACACTTGGAATACCAGCACTTTGTGGGGGCCAAGGCAGGTGGATCACCTGAGCCCAGGAGTTCAAGACCAGCCTGGGCAACATGGCGAAACCCCATCTCTACCAAAAAATATACAAAAATTAGGCAGGCGTGGTGGTGCAAACCTGTAATCCCAGCTACTAGGGAGGCTGGGGTGGGAGGATCACTTGAGACCCAGAGGTGGAGGTTGCCATGAGCTGAGATTGTACCACTGCACCTCAGACTTCAGTTTTAAGACCGTGATTGTGCAAGAGTGGTCGTTTAAAAACTCTGAGTTAAATCGTGTCTGTCTCTAGCAGCTTCCCAAGACCTTGGTCAACTAGGGCAACTGCGCAGGTGCTGACTGACCCTGCCTGTTTCTCCAGCTTCATCGACTGCTGCTGTCACTCACCAAGGTCCTGCCTTCTTCCTGTGCCTTGTGAGTGCCAAAATGACTCTGCCTCAGGGCTTTTGCACGGGCTGTTCCTCCTCTTTCCATGGCCAGCTTCCTGCTGTTCCCATCACTGCTGCAGTATCACATCCTTAGTGAGACCGTTCCTAATAGTCAGAATAATGTTCTTTTTCCTCTGATCCCTGTCCACTCACTCTGTCATATTATAGTGTTTTATTTTCTTCATAACAATATCAGAAATGACCTCGTTTATTGGAGAATGCTTTTACTAGAGACGGTCAAACCTAGCCTGGCTAGTGGACCATTGGGCAAGAGAATTCAGGCACTAGACAGACCGTAATGCCAGGTCACCTTTATTTCTCTCAGGACTGCTCTCACAAAGAAGTACACATCGGGGCTTAAAGCAACCGAAATTTATTCTCACAGTTCTGGAGACCACAAATCCAAAATGAAGGTGTCAGCAGGGCTGGTTCCTTCTTGGGGACTCAGAGAGAGACTCTGTGCCTTGCTCCCAGCTTCTGCTGGTGGCCGGTGATCCGTGATGTCCCCTCACTGGCATCTGCGTTACCGCAGGGTCAGCCCCTGTGGTCACATGGCCTCCTTGTCCCCTTGTGTCTGTCTCCACTTCATGTCTTCTCCTGTGGGTCTGTGTCTCTTCTCCTCTTAAAAGGGCACCAGTCGGATTGGACTTGGGTTCCACACTACTCCATTATGACCTTCTCTTTTTTTGAGACAGAGTCTGTGTTGCCCGGGCTGGAGTGCAAGGCATGATCTCAGCTCACTGCAACTACCGCCTCGCGTGCCTCAGCCTCCCCTGTAGCTGGGATTACAGGTGCGTACCACCACGCCTGGCTAATTTTTGTATTTTTGGTAAAGATGGGGTTTCACCATATTGGCCAGGCTGGTCTCGAACTCCTGACCTCAAGTGATCCTCCTGCCTCGGCCTC